TAGAACAGAGTTTCTATAGTCCTACTAATGAAAAGTTTGCCAAAGAAGTAAAGCAGAGGAGTGGTATTAATTGGAATGATAATGAATAATCAGTAGTTGTGTCGATGATTTCAAGTTTTGAAGAAGGAAATCCTTAATAATAAGATTTAGAGAAAAAGTAAATTCTTTATTCTAGATTGAAAATTATAAATATAATAGTAGAGGTTGGTTCAAATTTCTCGTTCAGTAGACAGTGCAATACTGATTCTAGATGTTAGGATCGAATTAGATTAAAATTGAATTTTATCCGATTACTCAGGACATCAAAGAATCTTCTAAACTCAACTTTGCTGTTAGGGAAATAAATGGTGATCACTCAGTGGAAAGGTAATGCTGATCAGTTTTGCAGAATACACTATAAATGGATGGGGAGGCTGATCTTAAAAGAGGTTCATAATAGGCAAAGCTCTCTATAAGTTTGGAAGATAAGGAGCTGAAAGATGAGAGAGTATTAGCAAAGTAAATACTTAATCATATTATTAAAGTTTACCTCTATAATCTTATACCGAAGATTCATAATCTAAATACTCTTTTTTTCTAAATATTTTATCCATATAGATGCAATTTATTTTAACGATGTATTTAGAAATTTCAATTAAGATATAAAATTTTGAGCGATTATTCATTTTTCTCTTTCAAATCTATAAAGGCTTTTCTAAGAAATATACCCCCACCCCTTACTTTAATGATTCTTCTAGTTAATAATAAAGGCATACATGAAGTTGAATGATTAAGAATTATAAGTTCAAATTTCAAACTTACAAAGATCAATGATGGATTCAGTTTAATTTTAACGATACTCTTTTATTATCATGGATTGCATCTTAATTCAACCATCATTTTTGGATAAAATTATATCATGTTATATGTGAGATTATGATTTAGGATTGGTCTAAATTAAACTTTATTAATATTAATTTCTTTTATTTTTTATGACTTTTGGAATGGAACCATGAATATTATAAATAAGATTGTAAATTTATTAGTTGTCATGACATATCTACAATGGGAATTAAATAAAGGTATTATATCTCAAAAACTCATCGAATTGCTTAATTAAAAAATTACTATTAATATTTAATACATGAATAAAGCAGAAAATAAAAATATTATTATAAAAAGTAGATTTTATTAAATAATATAAATTAATTTAACAATGAAAGATCATTTGAATTTGAGAGACTTGACAAAGTCATTAAAATTTTAAAGGAAACATTGAAGGTTAGTTTCTTAATAATTCCAATTCCAATTATTCCTTAAAAATAGTAACTTTAGAAGTTTAAGAAACTAAAAACAGTGCAAGTTTGGATCAACCCAGTTCTGAAATCTTCTATAGAATTACCTAAAAATTTGAATTTGGGCTACTTAAGTTTAGAGTTAGTAGATTTAATAAATCAAGACAAGATTAACTACTACAACTTATGAATTGAATGAAGTTGAAATAATAAATCACATATCATCAACCATTTAGTTTTTATGCACATATTATATAAATCTTGAGTTCATCTTATTATAATCCATGTAGAGCAGACTAATTTATAGTGATTTGATAAAGATGATGTAGTAGAAATTATTCTCTTGAAAGTTCAACTTTAGCGCGATTAAAAATTATAACATAAAAACATAAAACCTAGTTTTAAAAGAAAATTATCAGTAGTGTCACAGGTAATTTAGATTATACTGATAGCAAATAAGAAACATATTAAAGAATTTAAAATTATATTCAAACTGTTATAGAATTTGTTTGTATAAATTCTATAAAACCTTATTTCTATGAATATTGTAATTATCTTAAATTTACTCCTTTTTATTTTTTCTATTCTGACTAGATATAAAAAATCAATTGTAAATTTCTGTTTAAGTTAGATTATTCTACTTTTTAATTGATGCAAATTTAAGGAATACCATTTTGAAACAATTAATATAACAAATAATACATCATAGCATCCGAAAATTTTATCAAAAGTGCTTACTTTGCTATTGACTGTCATGAATGATAATTCAAAATTTTTTGAACAAATAAATTAAGATAATAATTTACGTTGCCAATTATATTGAACTCTACAAGTTTTCAAGCTATCATTTTTAGTATTCCTTAACTCTAAAAAATATATATGCTTTTTGCAATTTGTTTAGAATCAATTTTGCAATATATTTTAATTAATATATAATAGAATTGCACGAGGTTTAAAATTTAATAATCTTGCGTAAACATTTTCCTAAATTCATTATGTTTAAATATAAATTGTCAAAATATAGATTTTAGAATCAAAATGTAATTCTTAATAAATTGAAATGGAACCCTAATGCTAGCTATAAATTAAACCAGAACACTATATTTGGTGAAATTAATAAATAAATAAAAAAATTGTAGTCTTGTGAAAATCTTCTAATTATAGACCTAGATGTGATAAAGAGTAAGAAAATAATTAATTAGAAAATTTAAAGAATGGAAATATTTAGAAATTGCATTTGTATTGAAAGTAATTCAAATTAACTTATTTCATCAGAAACTAGATTTGCTACATCAGTATGCTTATAGATAGATCAATTTCTTCAAATCATATAATATACATAAATAGATTTTTATAGTAATATATAAAGAATGTGTAATTTAGATGAATATAATTAAAATAAATTGATATTTCTATTAATATAATTAAAAACTATGAACATGTTATAATAATAAAAGTTAGGTTAAGAGTTTTAGGAGACTACATGCAAAATTCACAATTTGGAATTTATTGCAGTTGATTTGGAGATGACAGATAAATCATAGATTAAGTTTTTTTGTGGTAATTGTTTAGTTGATAAATTAAATAATATAAAAGTGACAACAATAGAGTAATCAAAAGAAAGAATATAATAATTAAAGACTTAATAATAAGAAATGAAGATTAAAGAGAATCAAGCAAGACTAAACTATTATAAGAATATTTTAGATTAAATAATGGATTTTAAAAGATCGATAGATGATTCTTTAGAAAAGATGTATAAGTAAATATAATA